TTGTCCAACAAAGCAGGTTTCAGCTGCTCTAATAAGTAGGTCCTGAGTTGTGTTACTGTCCAGTGTTTCTGGAATCTTATCAGGATTCTGAATATACCTGTGCAAATCAGTAGCAGTAAGACCAAAAAAGGTGTCTAAGGCACTTCCAAATATAGTTATGACTAACAATTTGTTTGTTTCTGCAACTTTTAAGGAAAGTTTATATCTGTAACGGGCATTTTCAGCTTCACCAGTAGAGCCACATTTTGGACAATTATACCTTTTGGGAAGTAAGATTATCCGAGAGAAGCACTTCTGACATGATGGATAAATAAAACTTGAATTCTGGAGACCAAGCACTGAGGCAAAAAGAAATTTTCTTCTTCTATTCATACGTTCACACTAAGACCTGCAAGACAAAATAGATCAGGAAGGAGACCCCCGACCCAATACATTTTTCACGTCTAGTCATTTTAACAAATTCAGGCACCTTCCACTTAATGTGACTAAACAGTTCCTAACCTGTTAAACATTTGGCATGAAAATGCTAACCACATCAGTTTTCTGCAATGTAACTAACACAATAAAATGTACCTGAAACCTAATAAAATGTATACATGTATGGAATAAACTTATATGAAAGTATGTCAAATGTGTAAAGCATCACTTTCTAGTCACTAAATGATATGCTGGCTAAGAAATAATTACCTGTACTTTTGAGTGTTGTAACTTTTTCCATTGTAATTGCTTGTTCTCACTTGCTTTGCTGCCTTTATGATTTTCTTCAACAGTTTCTCAACTTTTTGGAGCTTATTATATAACACTAAGCAAAATCAAGGAATAAACATGTGACACTGAAAATGTATTCAGAACAAGAATACCATAACATACTAAATATTACCCTGTGAACTTTAGTACCAACAACATTTAAGACACGTATTGATACTTGATTACCTCTCAAAACATTTACACATCTGACAGCTCACTAAATCTATTTAAAGTGTACCTTAAGACTTCCTTAAGCTTAACTCATGGTATTCTTTTAAAAATTGTTTTGGAGTCAGCAGATGGTATACTGTTGCCTTGCTGAATTCCCACATATCCAACTGCGGTTAGAGTCCTGGACCTATTGGTTTCAAAAATCACTCCAAGTGGGTATGCATACATGCCCAAGGTCCCACAAGGAAAATGGAAGAGAAGGGATTGCAGTGTAGCCATCCCCTCTGGGGATGATAGACTATCTCTGTCTCTCTCTCTAGCAAGTGCCTGTACCCTGAGGCAAAAACCTATAATAAATAAATAAATAAATAAATAAATAAATAAATAAATAAATGTTTTAAAGGCCAGCAGATGGCATGGCAGTTAAGAAGGCTGTATCTTGGGAGTAGTTGGCATAATGGCTATGTTGCTGGACTCCCATGTAGTCAACCGCAGTTTGAGTCCCGGACCTGGTGGCTTAAACTCACACCAGGTGCGTGTGTGTGCATGCCCAAGATCCCAAGAGGAGCATAGAGGAGAAGAGATCATGGAGTGCCATCCCCCAGGGCAGTGATTTCTTGATTTTTATCTCTCTCTCTCTTTCTGGCGAGTGCATGTGCCCTATAGCAAAAATCTCTCTCTCAAAAAATAAAAAAATAAAAAATAACAATAGAAAAGAATAAAGAAATTTGGAGGCTTATGTTGAGAGAGGTACCAGGAGGACCAGCAGTTGGCATAATGGCTATGTTGCTGAACTCCCATGTGGTTGACCACAGTTCGAGTCCCAGACCCAGTGGCTTAAACTCACACTGGGCGCATGTGCGTGCGTGCCCAAGATCCCGAGAGGAGAATGGAAGAGAAGGGACTGTGGTGTGGCCATCCCCCGTGTGTGGGGGGGGATTTCTTGCTTTCTGTCTCTGCCTGTCTTTCTGGTGAGTGCATGTGCCCTATAGCAAAAAAACTCTCAAGAAAACAAAACAAAACAAAAAAACAAAAAAAAAAAAAAGAAGAAGAAGAAGAAGGCTGTATCCTGCATAGTCGACTGCATTGTTTAAGTCCCAGACCCAGTGGCCTGAAAAACACACTGTGGGCGTGTGTGCACACCCAAAATCCCAGGAGAAGAATAGAGAAGGGATTGTGGCATGGACTTTACCCAAGGGGGTGATTTCTCTCTCTCTGCACACACATAGCAAACTAAAAAATGTTTTAAATTGGGCTGGGCCTGTTGCCTAATAATTAGGGGAGCTAGATCTCACATAGCTAACCATGGATTTGAATCCTGGTCCCAGAAGCTTAAAAACATGCTGGACACATGTGCATGTGTGCTCAAAATCCCAACATGATGGAGAAGTGTGGAGAAGGGATTGTGGAATGACCACACCCCACAGGGGGATCCTCTCTCCTTCTGACTCCACGATGAGTGCGTGTAGATTCTCATAATTAAAAAACATTTTAAAGGGTTTTGGAAATGCAATATTTTCCCAGGTGAACATAGTGAAAAATACATCAAATTGAGAGAGAGAAATGTTCTATAAAGTTAGTGTATTAAAAATCAGAAGCTGGGACCAGCAGATGGTGTAATGGTTACATCTCTGGACTCCCAAGTAGTTGACTGCAGTCTAAATCCTGGACCCAGCTACTTGAAACTCATGCAGTTACATGTGCGTGCATGCCTAAAATCTCAAGAAGAGAATGGAGGAGAAGGAATTTCAGTGTGGCGATCCCCATGAGGTGATTTCTCACTTTCTATATCTCTGACTCTCTCTGCCTCTCTGGCAAGTGTGTCACGCATCCTATAGCAGAAATATCTTGAAAAAACAAAACAAAAAGAACAGAGGCCAGTTGGCGGTATAGCAGTAATGCAGTTGTCTTCGATGTTGGACTCATGGGAAAGACCTGGGTTTAAGCGATGAGGTTCTTCTGTACAGGGTGGGCACAGTATGTGCCTGTGATCCAGCTGGCTGGGTATGGCCTATGGTTTGAAGACTCCATTGGCGCATGTATCGCTCATGAAATAGATAAACTTAACAAAACAAAGTGCAGGCCCATCTGCAGTGGTGCACATGCGAGGGTGTGCCGCCAGTGGCTTAAGCCACACAGAAGGCCTGTATTTGGTTCTCAGCTCAACCTAAATGGGCCTGGGATGGTGGTATACACCGATGGATCTAGCTGATTAGGTGGATGTGGAGGGAAAAATAGTAGCATGTTGAGACTTGGATAAAACTACGTCTCTTGGCGCAGCTCACTCTTTCTGAGTCTGGCTGAGCAGAAGGCACCATTGTGGGGAGTCGACATCCACTACAATAAGGACTGAAATGTTCGACACAAGGAGCCCAAGAGCCAGGTCATCTACCTGAAGCTGCTGGTCAAGCTGTACCAGTCTCTAGCCAGATGAACTAGAGGTTGTCCTGAAGAGGTTGTTCATGAGTTGTCCCAACCTGCCACTCTGTCCATTTCCAGGATGATCTGCAAGATGAAGCTTCCTGGCCAGGAAAACACAAAATGGCTATGGTTGTGGGGATCATCACAAATGATGTGGGGACCAGCAGTTAGCGTAACGGCTATGTTGCTGGACTCCCGTGTAGTCGACTGCGGTTCGTGTTCCGGACCCGGTGGCTTAAAACTCACACCAGGCACGTGTGCATGCGTGCTCAAGATCCTGAGAGGAGAAGGGATTGTGGCGTGGCCATCCCCCCTGGGGGATGATTTCTCGCTTTCTGTCTCTCTGTCTCTCTCTGTCTGTCTGGTGAGCGCACACGCCCTATAGCAAAAACCTCTCCAAAAAAAAGTAATGTGTGAGTTCAGGAGGTGCCCAAACTGAAAGTGTGCATACTGCATGTGACCACCCAGTCCACAGCCTCATCCTCAAGGCCAGGAGCAAAATCCTCATCTTCGATCAGCTGGCCCTGGGCTCCCACAAAGGCTGTGGCACTGTCCTGCTTTCTGATCTTCACAAGGGCCCTGAGATGTACCAGCATTTCATCAGGGGCCCCAGAACTCCCACACAGCCACACCAAATGCTAAGTCTGCTCCAAGGGCCAGAAATTTGAGTGTGCCAGAGGCCGATGTGCCAACTTAGGCTACAAAAGCTAACCCTGAGGAACCAGCAGATGGTGTAATGGTTATGCTGCTGGGTTTCCACATGGCTGACCAGTCTGAGTCCCAGATCTGGTTTCTTGAAACTCATACTGGGAGCATGAGTGTAAGTGCCCAAAAATCTCAAGAGGAGAATGGAAGAAAAGAGATTGTGGTGTGGCCATTCTCCTGGTGATTTCTCGCTTTCTGTCTTTGTATCTTTCTCTGTATCTTTGGCACACTCACACAACCTATAGCAAACATCTCTCTTTAAAAAAAAAAATTAGGACCAGCAGTTGACGTAATGGCTGTGTCACTGGACTCCCATGTAATCAACTGCAGTTCGAGTCCTGGACCCGGTGTCTTAAACTCAAGCCCGGGAGCATGTGCGTGCATGCCTAAGATCCTGAGAGGAGAATGGAGGAGAAGGGATTGTGGCATGGCCATCCCCTCTGGGAGGTGATTTCTCGCTTTCTGTCTCTCTGTCTCTGTGTCTTTCTGGCAAGTGCATGCGCCCTATAGAAAAACCTCTCCAATAAATAAATAAATAAATAAAAATGTTCTATCTCTCTCATTAAATAAATAAACTTAAAAAAAGATTAACCCTGGATCCTGGCCTATGATTGAAAAGCGTTTGGATTCTGGAAAACAAAAAAACACAAAAACAAAACAACAAAAAAACTACGTCTCTTCCTCCTACACTTACTCATATGTTCTCATATAACAGAAATAACACAGCATGCATTATAAGAACTGAAAATATAAGCTTTTCCTTCATTATTAACTATTTATTTATTTATTTGTCCATGAGCTCACTGGAAAAAGAAGAGGCACAGAGAGAAGGAAAGTGAAAAATTACACCCTCCTCTCCTCCCACCCCAGGGGACATGGCCAAACCAGTCCCTTCTCCTATCTCCTCATGGAATTTTGGGTGCACACACACATGCATCCAGAGTGTTTTTCAGGCTGCTGGGTCTGTGAGTCTAACTGCAGATCCATCTATGTGAGATTCAGCTACTTTAACTCCACGCCACCTGCCAGTCAAACATATATATATATATATATATATATTTATATTTCTTTTTATTGTTTGTTTTGTTTTTAATTTGGCAGAGGCATGTATGCTTGCTGGGGAGAGAGGAAGAGATAAAGAGAGAAAGCATTCCCAATGGGACATGGCCACACTACAATCCCTTTTCCTTTTCATTCTCCTTTTCTAATTTTGGGCATATGTGCACACATGTGCCTGGAGTATTTCTCAAGCCACTGAGTCTGGGACTTGAATGTGTAGTTGGCCATGTGAGATCTAGCTGTACCAACCATCAGGCCACAGGCTGGTTCTTGATTTCTTTTTTGGCCATAGGGTGCATGTCCTGTCAGAGAGACAGAGGGAAAGTGAGAAATCACCCTGCGAGATGCCACACTGCAGTCCCTTCTCCATTCTTCTCTTGCAATTTTGGACATACATGCAGGCATGCATGCACACACATATGGTTGGCATGACTTTCAAGCTGCCAGGTCTAGGATTCAAACTGCTGTCAGTCACATGAAAGGCCAGTGCCTTAACCACCATGCCACCTGTTGGCCCCTTGATTTTGTTTTTTTTTTTTTTTTAAGAATTATTTATTTAATTTTCTTATTTCTTATTATTATTCAATTTTACCAGAGAGAGAAAGAGAGGAAGTGAGAAAGCCAGCCTCCAAGTCTGGGACTCAAACCATGGCTGACCATGTGGGAGTCCAGTACCTCAACCACCACATATCTGCTGGCTCCTGATTTTGCATCTTTTTTTTTTTAAAAGAATTATTTTATTTAACTTTATTTATTTTATTTGCTTATTTATTTTAATTTGACCGGAGAGAGAGTGAGAAAGCAAGCCACCAGGTCTAGGACTTGAACTGTGGTTGCCCATGTGGGAGTCCAGTGCCCTTAACCACCACACTACCTGCCTGCCCCTAAAAAACATTTGAATAGAGCCACTGCCCATGTGGAGACCATCTGGAGAGGCACAATGGATACAACTGACCCTGCCCTCTAATGCCATACTTCTGTCAGAGCCATTGGGTCCTCGGATATGAATTGCAGATGATGGTGGTTATGGCTGGTCATGGTGGTGCGAGCTGTCAGCACCAAGCACGTCAGCACTGAAGTCACAGTGGACACAACTACATGGGAGTTCAGTGACATAGCCATTATGCTAACTGCTGGTCCCCCAATTTTGCATTTTTTAAAAAAAAATTTGGAGGGATTTTTGGCTATAGGGTGCATGCCCTTACCAGACAGAGAGAGACAGAAAGTGATGTCATTCCCCCAGGGAGAATGACCATGCCACAATCCCTTCTCCTCCACTCTCTTCTTGGGATTTTAGGCACACATACACATGTGCCTGGTGTGAGTCTCACGCCTCCAGGTCCCCTGGACTTGAACTGTGGTCAGCCATATGGGAGTCCAGTGACACAACTATTACACCAAATGCTGGTCCCTAATTTTGCTTTTTTAAATCTTTTAAGAAATAATTATATATATATATATATATATATATA